TTCAGCAGGGCCCTGGGCCACGTCAGCCTCTCCCCCGACTCAGGACTGCCCTTTGCCTTCCCAGGAAAAGGAAGGCCTTGGCCAGCAAAGCCGAGGAGGATCATTACACAGGTAGGGTCCCCATCGCAGAGATGGCTGTAGGGCTGGGGTTGGAGCTGGGAGGGGAGCAGGTCTCTTGCAGGAGAGCCCGTTGCCATCCTGCGGTGGCGGCAGGCAGCCCTGCTGGCTCTGGCCGACCTGCCAGAGCAGCGAGTCCCACAGCTGCTATCCCCAGCCCAGAGCCTCCTCCGCCTGCCTCTTCCAGCAGCTGCTGGCTGGGTCCCTCAGGCTGTTTCTGTTGTGTTGTCCTCCCAGAGCTCCAGCCCTATGAGAACTCGGATAAGTACTGCGTGATCAAGAAGACTCATCTGGCAGAGGAAGATGCAGGTAGGAGGTGGATCGCCCTGCCTCTGTTCCCACACCTGGCAGGGAGAGGGTGGAGACCGGCAGCTGTGATGGTGTGAGCTCCGCACGCTGCCGAGGACACGCAGCAGCCTCTGCCCCGCGTGCCCTTGGTCTCCACAGGGAAAGGTGGCCAGGCTGGAGAGCCGTTTGCCCCAGCCCTTGCCTGTCCTGGAGTTCCCAGGAGACAGAGAGAGCAGTGAGGGAGAGGAGAAGATGGGCTGGACGTCCGAGGCTCAGTGCCGATGGCACTTCCCACAGCCCCTTCTTGAGGCTCGGTCCTGCGCCACTGGAAGCAGGACCTCATCTCGCTTGTGGTGGGTTATGGCTCCCCCTCAAATTTGCTCCCTCATCAAGCTCCAGCTTCCTCTGTCGCATCCTTGGGAGCAGCCCAAGGCCTGGGACGACCTGCTTGTGCCAGCAAGGACGTGTTCTGGTAGTCCTCCAGTGCTGTGGCAAAGCCATCTGACCCGCATCCTGGTGCCTGCAACTGTCCTGTGAGACCGAATGCAGCTCGCTGGGCCCCAGCCCCTTTTTCCCCACTCCGTGTCCCCAAATCCACCTAAAACCCTGGCCTCTGCTTGAGTTTGGCCCACCGGCGCTGCCCTCGCAGCTGTGCTGCTGTGTCCAAACAACCAATAAATTGTTGTGGCTTGCAGGGGCTGCCTGCCCTGCGACAGCTCCCACCTTGTCGTGCTTCCTCCCTGTTTTGTGTGTGAAAGCCCTGTCCCGATGAATCTTCATGGAGGAGCTTGGACTAGGCTTTTCCAGCCCCGGGGAAGCACACCTGAGAAGCTGCGTGCTGCCAGCACAACGCTTCGGCTTCCTACTTTCTCTCCTCCGCGTCCTACAAGTACCATGGTGTTCACTAGGCCTGGCGGGACCTCTGCGTTGGTCTGTGACCCCCTCTGTGGGTGCTCGTGCTCGGCTCCCATTTTGTGAGCTGCAGTTGTCCCTGGCCCTCTTGGGAAGTCCCCATCCTGCAGCCTTTGGGGTCTGCTCGACCTCGGCTGCTGCTGCTGCCCCGGCGCAGCCTCCGGCAGCCGGCGCCTCTCCCGCACTGTGGGATGCCGGTGCCCGGTGCAGCCTGGAGCTTGAGGGGCAGCCCGAAGGCTCTCCTGGCTGAGGAATCACAGAATCACAGAATGTCCTGAGTTGGAAGGGACCCGCAGGGATCATCGAGTCCAACTCCTGTCCCTGCACAGGACAGCCCCCAAATTCACACCATGTGTCTGAGGGCATTGTCCAAATGCTTCTTAAATGTTGTCGGGCTTGGCGCTGTGACTGCCTCCCGGGGGAGCCTGTTCCAGTGCTCCACCACCCTTTGGGTGAAGAACCTTTTCCCAATGTCCAACCTAAACCTCCCCTGGCATATCTTCCCGACGTTCCCTCAGGTCCTATCATTAGTCATCAGGGAGAAGAGATCAGCGCCTGCCCCTCCTCCTTCCCTTGTGAGAAAGCTGTAGACTGCGATGAGGTCTCCCCTCAGTCTCCTCTTCTCCAGGCTGAACAGACGAAGTGACTTCAGCCGCTCCTTGTACGGCTTCCCCTCTAAACCCTTTGCCATCTTTGTGACTCTCCTCTGGACACTCTCTAGTAGCTTTGTATCCTTTTTGTACTGTGGCGCCCAAAACCGCACACAGTACTCAAGATAA